GGGCGGCACTAAGAGCTGTGATCCTTCCCAGAGCCCCCCGGGCACCTGCCACAGCCCACAGTGTTTCCTGCTTCAATAACACCCTCAATATTGGAGGATTCCCTGGCAGGACACAGAAAGCCAGAGAAGTCAATGGCATGTGTGTCTCAAGTCCCCCTCTGGATGGCCATTTTCTTTGTTGCTCTTCATTGGATCCTAGAGACCATTTGGCCCTGACTCTCCCATTTTAGAGATGGAGAAGTTGAGGCCCAGAGAGAGTAATAGTTGTTCCAGGTCACACTAGAGAACCAGAGTCCAGATCCTCTATGTTCCCCTCTGGTGCTCTTTCTACCACGCCCCGCACCCCAACTCCAGGGTCTCCTAACTCTGAGCACTTGCCAGGGTGGTTCTCTTGGGCTGCAAGACTCCCACCCAGCTGGCCCTGGTTGCCTCGGCCTTCTCTTTGCCAGACGTCTATTGCACTGCAGGCTGCACCAGGTAATTTGCCACTTAGTGGCATCCAGGCTGGTATTAGAGAGGCTGCCTTGTGCACATGAAAGAGCCTGGGACGTGGAGTCAGAAGATTTGGTGTGAAATCCAGTGCCATCCATCAGGAGCTCCAAACTCTCAGAGCCATCATGTTACCTGTATAGGACTTCGGGTCTTTGTCTGTAAAATGGGGGCAGTGATCTATTCCATGCGATTGCGGTGATGAAGGAGTCAGGGCGCATTTGGGAATGCTCTTTATAGATGGCAAGGCGCTGTGCTAGCGGCGGTTTGTGTCCTTTCTCTGCAGGAAGAGCCTTTCCTCCCCCTTCCCTCTCTTCTCCCCTACAGTATTTAGCAGAGTGCTAGGTGGTGCGTAGAAGATACTCAGAAAGACACCTCCATTGACTGAATGTGATCTCCCAGGATCATCTGACCCTTTGATGCATCAGGAACCCGGCCCCAGACCTGGTGTTGGGGCGAGAGGGCTGTGAAGGCAGCCCATGGGCTTGGGGGAGGGGGAGAAGTAAACAGAGGGCCTCATGGTGGAAAGTAAACTGGATTTAGAAAACAAACTGGAGCTAATGGCTGTAGGTGGTGTTAGTCATTCCGTTAAGGAATTTGGGAATACATATGCATGCTAATAGGAATTTATTTTGGCTGTTTCCTACTCCAGCATTTGGAAAGGGAGGAGGGGTAGAGGGCACTGCAGAAAGAAAAGACACTGGACCTGCGTCTCCAAAAAGTGCGCTCGGGGCTGGGCCTCAGCTCCCAAGGATGCATTTGTCCAAGTTCTACAAGGCCTGCAGGATAACTGGGGTCAGCCGGCTGCTGGTCCTGGGGGAGGCACAGGGGATGGGGCGCTAGGAATTTAGGAGTGGCATCCAGCCGGTGTGATAGACCCAGTGGAGGGAGATCCCAAGGCCATATGAGACTGTGCCCCAGGCTTTCTCTTATTCTCCTGGCCCGCAAAGTCCCTCTTCAGGCCACAGTGTGCCAAGGGAGACTCTGAGAATCATCTAGTGCATTCCCAGGATTACAGATTGCACCTCTGTTACGGACCAGGATCAACAGTCCCCATCCTGTGATTCCATCGCCCCCGGCACCTGGCTCTGTCCTCGCATCCAACCTGACTCTCTCACTGCTTTTTACACCAGTTCCTTCTCTCCTCTGTCCTCAGTGGATACAGAGAAGACAGGCTTCCCATGGGCCTTTGCACGGGGTCCTTCTATCGGTTTTGAAGGCCCAGGCCAACTCAGCCTTCTCTTCCTCAGGCTGAAGATCTCCCCACCTCCAGCCCCTCCGGAGAACTCTTCTTATCAGGCACCATGATCCCACTGAGCAAGTGGGTATTGGGAGAAGGCCATGTGCCCAGAAGTGTGCTGAGGGGATTGGGGCCTACAGTCCAGCCAGAAAGCCAAGGGATGCAGAGAACAGAGTGAAGCTGGTCACAGTGCCCAGGAGAGCAGGGGAAGATGGGTCCTGACTGGGGACAGGGGAGCTTGAACTTGCTTCACACCGGGGTATTGGAGTCTCATTCAAGGATGGAGCGCGGCCCTGATAGGCAGCATGAAGCTCAAGGCACAGTCACTGTCTGCCACATAGAGACATGACCGGGTGTGTGCAGACAGCTTTAAGCACCTGCTGGGAGCTCTCTGGGAAATCATTTGTCTGCCCTGCACTTCAGTGCCTTGACTCTAAAACAGAAACAAAGAAGTGTGTCCAAAGAGCCTTAAAAATGTTCATACCCTTTGGCCCAACAACTCTCCCTCGGGGAATCTCACCCAAGCAAAGAAACAAGAATGTGGGCAAAGACTTAGGGACAAAGCTGTTCATCACAGGGCTGTTCAGAAATGTGAAAACGTGAGCTGTACAAGAATCCAAATGTCCGTCATTAGAACGACTCCTGTAGGAGCTTTCTCTCCTCCCTCGTGCTTCTTTCTCCCCTCCCTCTCTCTCTCCCTCTCTCATACAGAATGATGGGCTCACCCCTCTGGGAAGCCCTGGCTCACCTCTGTGGTCAGCAGCCAGTAAAAGCAGCCAGGTGGTGAGCACAACTGTGCCCCTGCCCAGCCCCTCTGGGCTTTCTCAAGCAGCCGAGAAATCCTTCACTCACCTTTCCATTCCGGAAGCGTGGACTGTCTTCTGGGGATTCTCCACCAAGAAGAGTGACTGTAGAGTGGTTTTCTCTTTGCCTCCCAAGATGTGTCAGAGTCCCCACTCTGCTCCATCTGTCGAGGTTCTCAGGGGTCCCTAGAGCTGGACAGGCCCTTAGAAAGTACACCATCCAACCCCTTTGAGGGGAAAGGGACTTGTCACATTGCTCATTAGTACAAAGCCGTGGCCACCTGACTCCTAGCCCAGTGCTCAGTGCTCAGGTGAGGCAAATATAACTCAAAAAACAAACCAGTTGTCCTCGGAATTACCCAAAGTACAAGAAATGATCCAGGTCCTGGCTCTGCACGGGATATCCACTCCCTTCTCGGAGCTGGGAAAACTTCCTGATGGGATTTGGGTTCGCTCGGGAGCAGGCATTGGGCCCTCCCTCCAGCAGCTCTGGGTACCTGGCCCCTTCTCCACGCCCTCCTGATGCTTTATTGGTTTCTGAGAGCAGCTCCCTCTCTGCTCTGGTGCCAGCCTGGTCCTATCCCTGCCACTAGATTCTGGTCCTCTTAAGGGTGACTGTGGGATAAGGCGATAACCTATCCTGCAGCCCCCGACCCTTGAGGGAATTCAGAGGCTTGAGCCTAGGCTAGAGTTCCTCCTTCCACTCCTACCCCACCCCCCCTTCCTGGGAGCCCCCACCTGCTGTGTGCAAAGCCACAGGTAGGCAAGGAAGAAAACACGCTCCACGCTGATCTCCCCTCCTTCTTCCCCTCCCCCTGCTTGTCCCTTCACAGTCTCCTCTTCTACCCCTCACTTCCTTCTACTCACCCCCTCCTTCTTCCTTCCTCCCCTTCTCCTTTCTCCTCCCTCTATCCCCACTCGCTGTTTCTGCCTGTTTTCCTGTGCCAGCCCCCTCTCATATACCTTGAGTCTCATCCCGGCCATGCCCTTCTCCCCCCAGGCTTTCCAGAATCCCTCCAGGGAGGGGCCTGTCTTTCAGGGTCTGCAGTATGCTGATCTGGCAGTTTCCCTGGGTGCACATGGGAAGGGGGCCCTGCGCGTGGGGCCCAGGTGCTGGGGCTTCTGCAGATATGCATCTACCTCTATGCATAGACAGAGAGGAGGCAGGGTCTTGCCTTACAGATCTATCCGGCTGAGCCAATCCTGGGCTGCAGAGACACATCCACATGCCACATGTGCCTCCCTGTGGGTATCTGGAACAGGTGCACGGGAGGCGTTAGCCACTAGGAGAGAAGAGATGGATTGAGACATTCTCTCTGCCCCTGGATTTACCAGCTGGAGTACCAGCAGGAATCTCAAAATTTCAGTTCCTTCAGTGGAAAAGGTACACACACCTCTTGGGAAGGCCAGTAAGGCAGAGCCCAGTGCAAACTTCCCAGGAACTGGTCGCTGATCCCAGTGGCCAGAGAGGATAACCAAAGAAAGAGGGGTTATCCTTGCTAAGCCCTCAGTCTGCTCGGAGTAGGGACTCAGCTACCTGCTACGTGCCTTGCGCAAGTCGCTTTACTTTTCTGGGCCTCAGTTTCCTTACATGTCAAATGAGGGCTGCGGGAGGATCAACCAAAGGAAGAGTAGTAAAGGAGCTGTGCAAACAATTGGCGCCACTGCACACTCCATGGATTCCTGTGATACGAAAGTCGGAGGGGTGTGTGTTTGTGTGTGAGCATGTACCGGGCGCTCATTTTTCATAGGTCCCTCGCTAGGGAATCAGAGCTGGGTCCAAGGCTGGGTGGGCGCGATCCTCCCAGCCCCCACCCTCGCCCGGGGCGGCGCGGAGGGGTTTTCCTCTGGCAGGCGGCGGGCTGAGGGCTGCACGGCGCGCTCCGCACGTGAGGCGGCAGCACCGGCGCCGGCTGCTGCGGCGCAGCCCGGGCCGCCCGGCTCGCTTTGCGCAGGGGCTGCCCGCGCCGCCGGGTCGCCGAGCCCGTTCTCCCGGCTGCCGGGGCTCGCGGCCCGCCCGCCGCCCTCCCCCAGCCCACTCCCGCCCCTCCGGGCGGGCCCCGCTGGCCAGCCCGCTGCCCTCGCCATCTCCGCGCGACCCCTACGGGGACCGCGATCCCTCCGGTTTCGGCGGAGGTGTGGGTCCGCGCGGAACGGGGCGCGCCGGGCTGCGGGCCGGGCGGCGGGCGCGGAGGCTGGCTCCCGGCTCCTGCAGCTCCGCCGGCCGCCACTGGGGGCTGCCGCGCCGGAGGGCTCGCCGGGGACGGTGCGCACGGCCCCGGCCTCCCGGGCGCCTCCGGCCACTGAGCTTTCCCCACCGCTGGCCGCGCGCTGCCTCCGCAGCCCGCCCGGCTCCCTCCCGGATCTGCGCGTGTGATCGCTGTGCGTGTGTGTGTGTGGCCGGGGGCGCGCGTGTGTGCGCGCGCGCGGGGGGCAGTGTGCATGCGGGGAGTGCGGGGGAGTGTGTTTGTGTGTGCGCGTGTGGGTGTGAGTGCCTGGCTCGCGCTGAGACACACACACACTCACACACACACACAACCCGTTTGTCTCATCTGAACTTGAAGACACCCGACATTCCAAGACGCCCGGGAATGCCCGGGGTTCTTCGATCTGGAAAATCCTACCGGCATCTTCCTAGGGAGGGATTATCTTTTTTTGCTTTTTGCTTTTTAAATCTGGAAGAGAAGAGAGCAAGTTGTGCTTTTTCCTCCCTCCTTCTTGCTAAATGCCATGGATATAACTGAATAAGCCGCTCAGGGCTCTCCCCGCGTGGACGTCCGAGGCCACCATCTGCCTGCGTTCGTCGGAGCCGGAGCCGGAGGGCTAAGCTCGAGCCTGTCTCGGGCGGGGAAGGATGCGCGGCCGAGCCGGGGAGCCCGGGCGCCCCGCGGAGCTGGCCTCGGTGCCTCCCAGCCAGGGGTAGATGCAGCCTCGCCCAGGTGAGTGGTCGCCGCCTCGTCTCCGCGATCCGGGGTGTCTGCGGGAGCTCGGCGCCTGGCTAACGCGCCTGAGAGAACCGGGAACTTTGCATCCTTTTCTTTTTCACTTGAGGACTCCCCTCACCCGGGCGCTCCTGTGGACATCCTCCTCTCTTTTCTCCCATCCTTATCGCGGGAGGTTTTCTTTTCTTTCTTTTCTTTCCCATAGTGGGGGTGAAACTCTGGCGAGGAGCGAGGAGAGCGGGTCCATTGAGAGGCCGGAGAGCAGGAGGCTGAGGCGGTAGCCGCAGGTAGATGAAAACGTTGAAACAGCAGGAGAACTTTGCCGTCAGACCACTCTGTTGCATCTCCCCACTTGCGAGGCCTGGGCAGAGCTATTGCTGGGGGCTGGGTAGGACGCCAGGACTCCCTGCGCTCTGTGGGCTGGGTGGGGTGGGGTAGAGTCGGTGCGCAGGGGTTGACTGAGCGCTGATGGAGGGAAGGAAGGCTGCGTGGCAGTTTGGCGAGGCCGATAGGGCAGGCTCAGGGCCCCCATCCTGTCTCAGGCAGAAGGGAGGGAGATGGGGATTATGTGTGTGCAGCTCGGGCATCAGAATGGCATGATGAAGCAAGATGGAAACTGGCACTAGCCATGCCTGCTTCGTAGGTCTGTCTCCCACCCAGCCCTGCCTGGGTTCTGAGGTTGGCCTGGGCTGGGAGGAGGGACGGCGGTGGACAGCTCAGAGGCCGGCAATGCCTTGCTCTGCACAGACTGTAGGCGATGATGACAGGGGAGGTGTCCTGCCCATCTACCCGTCACTCCAGTACAAAGGACATTGGCAGTGAGTTCAAGGGAGACAGAGCCCCTGAAAACTGGAGCCTTAGAGAGAAAGAAGAGGGAGCCTGAGCAGAGACCAGAGAGGAACTGAGCCAGGCCACACTAAATGCATACTGAGATGTCCACAGACAGATGGACAGACAGACACCTGCGGGGAGAGGGAGCGTCTCAGAGCTGGCTCTCTGAGCTGGAGTTACAGGCAGGGCTGTAGATGCTGACCCTCTGCCGCGCCTCAGTGGAGAGTGTGTGTGTGTGTGTGTGTGTGTGTGTGTGTGTGTGAGGGAGGGGGCCGCTGTGGCTGCAATCGGCTGATTGGCCTTGTGGGGTTGGGGGAGGGGGCGGCTTCAGGAAATTGGCACCCAAGGCTGGGGAGGAGCAGAGCTGGGGAGGAAACTGCCAGTCTCTGAGCTGTGAAGTTCCCAGGGACCAGGGCGGGAGGTTCTAGGTGGGCTGTTGTTTGTGAGTGAGGGCTGGTTTGGAACTCATGGTGGGGAGGCCGAGACGGGGGAGTGAAGCACCCAGGTCTTGGGGTTGTGCCCTGGGCTGGTCACTGCCCTCTGCAAGCAGCTTTATACTGCCACCGCGGTGGAGCCCAGCCGGCTGTGGGACTTGTTTGTGCAGTACCTTGGAGGCTGAAGGGGGCCAGGGGCGTAAGGGAGGACTCAGAAGCTTGTGGGGCTTGCACTAGGAGCCGTCAGCCTCCGCAGACCTCGCCAGCTGCCCGGGCTCTTCTGCTGACGCTGGAATGTCGTCCTTCCCTTCTGACTCTGGCTGGGAGTGTGGAGTTCCATCTCTCTCCTAGGGCTCCTCACGTGTTTCTGCTCAGGCCCCCTACCCAGCCCTCAATTTAGAGTTTCTGGTCTAATTCCTGCCCAGGAATGTAATTACTTATCTTCCTGCCCTCCCCTGGGGGAACACAAAGAACAGACTTGGCATTTAGGTTTCAGCCTCTGGCGGTGCTTCTCTGGGAGTCGGCTCCCAGCTCCATCTCCTGTCGGGCTGGACGGGGGCATGCCGGCCGCTGGGGCTCAGGCTCCCTGCTTCTCTGAGCTGCCAGCTCCTTTCGCAGGCCTGGAAATCTGAGAAGCCGGGGAGTGTGGCCTGAGAGAGGGTGAACCGGGAGCTTCCAGGAGGCAAGACTGAGGAGTAGAGAGAGGATGGATGGGGGAAATGCAGACAAGGTAGGTGGGGCCACTGGGAGAAGCAGGCAGCCGCCAAGCCCTGGTTTGGCTACAGTGGGAATCTTGTCTTGGCTGCAGGCTCTGGAGTAAAACAAAGGATCCAGGGGTTCTGGCCTCCAAGGTCCAGTTGTCAGGTCTCTCTGGTCTGTGGGGTGGAGCAGGGTCTTTTCTCCTTCAGAAAGTCCCATCCTGCGCAGTTATTGGTGTCCCATTCTGACCAGGGAAGCTGCTAGACCGAAAGCAGAGATACAGAGCAAAAGCAGCCAGAGATAGCCAAGTGGAGCTGGACACGGGACAGAACCACAACAATTTCGGTGTTTTGCGGGTTTTCTTTGGGCACAGTTGGAGTTTTAGGGTCCAACTTATTTGAATGGAAAGAGTTGTCGTAGAGTGGAATGGAACCTAACTGGAGGGCCTGGGTTCAAATTCTGCCTCTGCCACACCTTTGTGGGTTAACCACTGGAGCCTGTGTGTTCTCATCTGGAGAAAGGAAGGACTAACCTGTGCCTCGCAGATGTGTGCTGACCCTATGTTTGTCCTGGTGCTCCCTTTTCAGATCTGCAGTAGTGTTTGGTTGGAGGGGGGAAGATGCTCTCAGAGACATGGAGGATGGTGCCCCAGCCTCCCCCGCCCACCAAGCCACCAGGAGGGTTTGACATCACACATAAGCTGATCATTAAAAGACTCCAGGAAGCCCTCCAGAAAACTTCGAAAAGCGCATTTCCCCTCTGGGGCTGTGGCCCCTGCCTCCCTCCCTCTCTCTGGTGTGCTTTGGATTTTTATGGCCATGCCCATTTGCTCAGGAAGGGCAGGCCCTGGGTTTTCCAGGTGTCATCTGTCACCCTTTCTTCTCTGAGGCTCAAGTATGAAACATCCCCCAGGTCCCCAGCCGCTGCCTTCTTGTCACTGACTCTGCCTCTCACTGCCCCAGGAGGGGCACAGGATGGTTCAGGCCCAGGCCAAGTGAATGGGCACAGCTCTTGCTGGGGTCTGTGCAGGCCTGTGATTGGCCTGGGTCCCTTCTGTGGAGTTGGGGGGCACACCAGTCAGGGAAGGGTGCTCAGACCCAGACTGTATTTAGTAGGATCTGACTAATAAACCAACTGGAAGAGGGTGGAGAGGGAGGTCTCACCATAATGGGCAAGCCTAAGAAAAGGTATTTTCAGGGAGCAGGAAGTCAGGTCTGGAGATAGGGACCAGGGAGAGGAGCCATATCCAGCCTGTTCAGGGTGAGGGCAATCAGGAGGGCTTCTTGGAGGAGGTGAGGATTTCAGGAAGAGCAAAAGCCCATAGAAGTCCATAGAAGGCAGATTCTGTTTTCTCTTAAATGCTCAGAGGTCACTGGGAATTTGGGGAGTTTCAGGAGTGGGGTACTGAACAAGTAGAATGGATGTTCTGAGAAATTTCTTAAGCTATCAGGACCAGCTTCTTCAAACGAATAATTTCTTTATTGCTTCTTAGTGCCAGGTACAGTGCTAAGAGCTTCATGTGATTATCACACTGGATTCTCACAGTACTGTGAAGTTGCCACTGTTATCACCTCCAGTTCACAGATGAGTAAACTGAGGTTCAGAGAACTTGGGTCCCTGCCAAGTAGCTAGTAAGGGGCAAAGTTGTCACTCAACTCACATGTCCATCTGAATTCAAAGCCTACACTCTGAACTCCTCTGCACTCCTCTCCCCCCAGCTGAGGAACAGTAGGCACCATGGGCTGGCACTGTGCTGGCCTCCTGGCCTGCCTGGGGAGGTGGCTTCAGAGCCTCCATCCCAGAGCCACGTGGATCCCGCCTTCTCCGTGAGCATCCCTGCCTGCATGGCCCGGTCATGCCCACCTGTTTAAAAGCTCCCATGAAACAGTCAGCTCTGTCCTTGTGGACAGGACGGAAGATGACAGTGGGCGAGCACTGGACTGAGAGTCAGGGACCCAAGTTGGCCATGTGTGACTTGGGTGGGCTGCACACCCCTTTACTCCTCGCAGCCCTGGTCTCCTTCCTGATGAATCAGGATGCTAATGACATCAGGGCCGGCTGGCATGTGTGGACGCACTTCAGACGTTGAACCAGCCCTTAGCACTCGGGGTTATATTTGTGACCCTCCTGGTTTAGACCAAGTAACTAAAACATCAAATGTCATAATGCCCAGGTATGACGGCGTTACAGGCGGGCTTTTACGTGTTAGTTTCATGTGGGGCTGGGGTGAACCAATAAGATGATGGGCCAGCCAGGTGGGCACTGTGCCTGCTGGGAGGAGGGAAGGCACAGAACCTGCAGAAGAGGGGCATGTGGTCCAGATAATCAGGTGAGATTGGTGATGGGCTGTAGGAGGGGACCTGTTGACATGCACATCATTTGCTTTTGTAATCAGGTGGCCATCGTAGAAGATTTGGCACCAGAGTGGGCAGAGGGTATTTTCCTTTGGCCTGTGTTTCTCGACACTTTTTTCATTATTTACCTCTCCAAGGAGCCGTAGATACCTTTTTCCTAATTGTACCCCCCATGAAATTTTAATAGCACAGATATATTGTATATCTGTTTATGTACTGCATGTATATCCACGCTTTATATACAAAAGGTAAGACTTTTTTCACCCCTCCCAAGAACAAATTTTTGTCCCCTTGGGGGCACTGTCGCCCCCCATTGAGAATGCATGCCCTAGGGCCAAGAGACTAGGGTTAGAAAAAAAGATGGTTTCACAGGCAGGGAGAATCCAGGCGAGGAGTCAGATCCACTCTGACACATTGCCGCCCCTAGTGTGGTCCATGGACCAGCAGCATAAGCATTGCCTGAAAGCAGGCTGGCCGTGCAAAATCCCATCCCATCCCAGACCTCCTGAACAGGCATCTCCATTTTATGAAGATGGGAAGTGGGGGCAGGGTGGATGCACTACCTTAGAACGAGAGGCTCGTCTGTGAACAGAGGGCCAAAGGAAAAGAGGTGAGAAGTTGAAGACCAGACACAGCTAGGTGCTGGATCACGGGCTTGTTAAGCTATTGAGTCCAGATG